CCTGAGGACGGTAAGTGCCTTTCTCACTTTTGCTAGTTAGTGAATAATTAAATATTAATGAAGAGATTTCTAGGAAGAGCCCTTCTCCAGGGCAGGCCTTCCGCAGAGGGGCGCTGGGAGGAGGTCTGCTCTTGAATCTGCAGCCTCCGCCGCTGGCCAGGACTCGGGACCTTCGCTAACATTCTGGGCTCGGAATTTGGGACGCAGGGCTCCCAGGCTCAGGTGTGCGGGACATTTGCCGGAGAGAAAGGCACCGAATCCATAAAATAGCGCCGGCGCACCTCCACCAGAGTAGGCGGGAAGGAGGAAGCGCCTTCTGAAAGGTTAGATGTGCTGGGGAGCGGGATTCGGGAGCCACCACCCTTTCTTAAAATGTGTTCCCCGCGTCGGCGTCCTACACCAGCGGCCGCCTGTTTTTCCGCGCCGGCCCTGCAGTGACCGAGAGTGGATTGAGGGGCCCTGGTCCCGCCGGGCCGAGTCGGGCCGGCCGCATGAAAGGCCCTGGTGGGAGCTGTTGTTTATGGTGGCATAAAATGAAAAACAACTCATAACTCTGCGTAATAAATCCCCCTTTATAGTGGCTCACACGCGGGCCTGGCTCTGGCTCTGGCCAGTGTGTGGGGAGCAGGAAAGGGGTGCAGGAATGCAGGTTTGCCCTCACGGCGGGGCTGGAAGGTAACGCTGGAATTCATTTCTTTAAAAGTGGGGTCTCGGCAGGCCAGCACGGCCCTCATTGCATTTTAGTTCGCTGGCCCTCGCCGTTTGGGACTTTAAAAAAAAAATGCGCGTTGGGACTTGTGCGTGCCTTCCCTGTGACAGTGAAACCCGTACCTGTGGGGACGAAGCTGCGTTTTATTACGGTCACATCCCGGGTGCGACTTCCCTGCACTCCCCGCAGCGTGTGATGTGGTTTGGGGAACCTGACGGGGTGCTGAGACCACAGCACACTGGGGAGGGGCGGCCGTTTCCGTCACACCCCGGACTCGTGAGCTGGCACTTGGAGGCCTGTTTCCGGGAACTTGGGCAGAGGCCCGAGGAGCCCAGGTCTGCCTTGTGCCTCCCTCTCCGGGGCTGCCTGGCTCCCTGAAGCGGGAAGGACCCCGACGAAGGAGGGCGGTTCAGTGAGGTCTGGCCCACCTGGCCGCCGAGGCTGTAAGTTTGCTTGGAGCTGCAGGCGACCCTGGCCGGCTGTTTGGCTAGGCCGTTGCCCCCCTCCCATCCCCCACCTCTCATTTTGAATTTTTATTTATGACTGTATCCGAGGCAGTTAGCAGACACGAAACCTGGGGTGGAACATTCGGGAGTGATCTCAGAATGGGGTGCCGCCGGCGAGAGCGTGTGCTCCGCCTGGGAGCTGTGCTCGGCGTGGTGATGGCGGTGACGAGGTTGGTAATTATAGGAAGCTCAAGTGTTGGGGGCTGGGGGGGGGCTGGGGCTCCCCTGCAAAATGTGGGAGGCTTTTTCTCTGGGTCCACAGATGACCCGTAACAGTGCCTGATGGGTGGGAATGGGTGGCATTGTGCTGAGGCCATTGGGCGTCCCCCAGGATTAAAACATCCCCCCACACGGGGCACCCTCTGCTCCCCCACGGCCTGCGGGCCAGACACGAGGGACAGGGACAGGTCTGAGCACCCCAGGACGCACCCCCCCGGGCCACTTTGTGGGGGGTTGCTATTTGGCAAAGCCCCAGAGGCCCATCTCCTGCCCTGGAGTGTGCCCCCGGCATGTGGAACGTGACAAAGTTGAGTCTCCAGGAGACCGCGGGGCTGCCTGCAGGCCCTGCCTTTGTCCTTGTTCCCTCGGGCAGCTCCGTTCCAGCGCAGGCTCGCCCCACCGGGCCTCGTGCCGAGCTGGCATAGCCCATCCAAGCACAATTTTATTTTTGATGACACGCACACAAAGACAAGGACCCGAAAACGAAACTACGCCTGTCTTTTTTTTTTTTTAAATCACTTCTGGATTCAATAGACTGTGCTAAGCAAGGGGATAGGTTCTCACGGCTGGCGGGCTGCTGGGAAGATGGCCCCGGTGGTCTTGGGTTTTTTTTTTTTTTAAACCAGGGCGGCTCCTTGCCTGCA